CAGCATAGTTGATCTCGATAAATTATTGCGATGGATAAAGCTTCCTGTTATGCCAAAAAGTACAAAATGGTTTTTTTATTAAAACGTAAAGGCTTAATGCCAACATAAACCAAGGATGCACTGGCGCCGCGTATAACAGTTATCCATCAAACCAGGAACTATTCGATGATATGAGCCTAACCAGTGGAATCTTAAATCAAAGATAAAATGAAACTTAACCGGGGAGTCCGTACCACCAGTTGGACGAAAAATATAGTCCATATTTCATCAGTGGTTCGTCGGAGCTTCAGTAACAAGTATGCAGAGCCAGTCATCTCTTAATTTATTTTATCAGTGCTTCCTACAGCTCTGAGTGAGGGTTTCGGGAATCTAGAACGGCGCTCTTTGATTTGAGAGCGATACCGACGGTCCTGGGCGACAACTTTTCTTTGCCACCGCGAATTACTATTATAGGCGTTCACCACAATAAATATTTGGCATCAAATAAAACTAGGATTTTCTTGCGAATGCATCGCTGTTACAGAACACTAAAACGTGTTTGCCATTAGCTGAATTCTTACTCTTATATACACCTATCTTTATTCTCTTTGTGATCAGTTAAACCCAAGAACCCTGCAGGGTCTTACTGTATTCTTCACTATGATTACCAGTTCCATTTGCGTCACCTGGGCCCGAAAGTATCACCATTAACTCCAACCGAGGCAGTGTTCTAGAGCCAATCACAGTTCGCATATTTATTTAACTAGCTCTACAATGACTGGACTTAGGTCGACGTGATACCGTGCACTACAGGGTTTGCCGAAGGCTTGAACTTTTCGTTCACCGAAGCAAAAGTAAACTTTCACATCCAGTTGACAACTAAATATTCATATGTTAACCAAACCGCTGTCTTGGACGTGCGGTTTACAAGCACCGGTTAAGTCGTGTGCAGGATAAACTACCTCGCACAACTCCGGATGTATTTGTAACATGAGCAAATCCAGTAACGGAGCAAAGCAAACCAATCACTCTGTCAACTGCTGTAATGAATGCCTTTGCTGACTGTGAACTTTTATTGAGCAGGACAGACAACACAACTGTTTGGTGGGTTTATTTTGTACAGCGTCTTCTGCCAAGGTAAGTGTAAAAGGCAGTATAATGATACAGAAACATGGTTTCTTGCATTGGTTGCAGAAAATGGAACGGTGACGTGACTCATCGATAATGACAGTTGAATGTCACAGCAACTTACAGGTCACACAAAGCATACGTACAGACCTGAATCGAAAGACCAATCTTATCTTCAAAAGTCATTGCACAGATCCTAACAATGAGGGGTTCTGCATGTCCGGTGCAGAGCTGTACTTTTAGTCCCTTTAGATAGGTCCCTTGCACACAGTAGAATTATTACTTCCTCCAGACAGACTGGTTGAGCAGGGTTAATTTCCTACGTGCTGTGGTCAAGCAATTACACTAACCACTTCATTAATGCGTATCTTAGAAATACCAACAAACAGTCGCATATCACAAAACAAAATTGGCTTTTCAATTTTGGGCTTCTCTACACCAGCCTTAAAATCTTCATTGGGTTTTAAAAAATTTAAGCATTGACCCGATTTGATCAAGGCTGGTACTTTGTGTTCACAAACACCTGAATATCACCATTACACTACCTTAGTATTGTTGATTGATCGCGTACCGATTTAATTTCACAGAAAATATGCAACTTACCCACGTATATTGATTTATTCTATTTTTCATCGCAGGCGCCACAGCAGAAGATCGTATGCAAAGTGCATTTACTAAGTAAATCTTAATTTAAGACTTTATAGATAACTGAATCTAGAATAGGTCTAGAAAACTTGCGAAAAGCTCGTATACTTTTTTTCTAATTTTACTGTTTGATATTGAGCACTTCACCTTCCTACACTTTTATGCTACGTTTCTGCAGTTCTGCTGAGAAACAATCAATCGACTTAACCAGTTTTTACTGTCACAAAAGGCAATTCATTTTGAGAACCTGCAAGTACTCCTTGTACAGTATTTATTAAAAGAACTGGAATATGACAGAAATATTTTATTTGTTGAAATAATCTCCTGTACATGATCAGCATATTTTGGGAGGTTGATCACTGGAAAGTCTGTCTGCTCCTGCTTATGAGGTTTGTAGCCGGTCTTCTACTTCTGGGGTTGACTAACTCAGTTAAACGACCACGATATTCTTACTTTCGACAGAGTTTCTTTCCAATATTGTGTAATCATTGTTAGCACTACTTAGTTGTCATTTATGCTGTTATCAACAAATTCGTGACGAAGAGACTGAACTTTGCCGCGGTGCGACGGTTTATGAGCCTACATAAGCCACTGCCCTCTACGGGGATTAGCCTTTACCCCTTACACAGCCTATTATATCAAGTGAGCCAAAGGATAGAGGTCTGAATAACACAGTCTCCTAATCATCCAAGTTTGGGGTTGGAATATTTGTGGTGACTTGCGCCTTTAAAACGTCGGCTGCTCTAACAGTCTCATGTCAACGACCGCTGCCTTGCCGCTGGGCCTTTGAAACAAAGGCTCTGCTTGAGGACCGTAATCTTCCTCCTGTGTATGCGTGGGTTCCCTGATATTATCCTAGCTCGCGTACAACCAGGTCAAAATGGTAGCCATGCTACCCTCAACCAAAGTGCCATGGGATTCAGTGCACCATTCCTCTCTGTTTGATACACTCCACAGTTAACTAAGAAAGTTGTAGTACTACTACTCTTCTGAAAGGGCAACTAATGAGGCTAAGTAATTTACAGACATTCTTTCCCCCTGAAGTGAATCACCGTGTGGATTTACCTGATGGTCGTATTGTTGGTGCGGTTTGAGCTTCGCCAATATGGTTCTCTCTTGGTTGACAGATGGGTAATGTGACCTAAGGTAACGCTTGTCTATAAGCACATTTTAAAATGCTAGGTTCGAGTTTACTGAGTAGACCCAGATTGGTAACATTAAAGAAGTTAAAGAAACAAATTCTTTGTGGTCTGTGGAGACAGAAAATTTTGAATGATCATGCTGTCCATCAAAATCTCTTTGATAGCCTAAGGATATGCGAAGTTTGTTGTTTCAACGGAAGACAGCCTACAGTCACTAACAAGAGTGCCTTACACTGTGCCACCTTGCGTTTTAACTTTATGGGGTCAAAACTTGAAAAGACTAACCCAGAAAGCCAAGCAAAGTTATTGAGTATAACGGGCAATCTTCGTGGTTGGCTTCGCGTGATGCACCGAGTGATAGGTGTAAATCGGTGTTGCTGGTCGTGGTCTGGTCTGATCGTTGAGCTGGTTTAGATGCGTGGTTTTCTCTGAAAAGGCTTTTCGTTTCTTTATTGTTTATGCTTTACTGCCTAGGAACAAGAATAAACCCAGCATTCCGTGTGTGTTGACGTTATTGAATTTTATGGAAACTGTGGCCTACCGGAATTTCGGCTTACTTACTGATTTATTGTCAAATACTTCATGATTGCTAGTCGAACCCGCCACACTCAGGTTGTGAGCAGCCGAAGAATGTTTGACTATTTTAAACTATTGGCAATTTTTTCTGGCAAAAGCCACTGAACAGTATGTTCTATACTAATGCAGCGACAGATCGTTTAAAAATTTGCCGTAATTGCAGACCTGAATGGGAACAAGTGCCCAGTTCAACGTAGTGCAATCCCAAAGCACATACTCGATTGAACATAGACTGAGTGCACTCGTGTTTGGCGCCACGTGTTTTATTGGATCCTACAGTATGTATAGATTTATTCACACGACAGTTTGTGATGATCTAAACCAAATATGTCTTAGCGAAATAACCCGGGATAAACGACAGGCTTACTTTATTGCCTATACTTGAATCGAGGGTGTTGCTTTGTTGAGCGATTGGTTAGCATTACTTCTAGATCAAGCATTGTCAATGAACGTTGATTCTCTGACCAATGTTCATTCAAGAGACTCGTCAATTTTTCTAAATCGATCCCGGCGAAAGTGGCGTGTCGCACCAAAGTCAGGATATTATCGAGCTATTTTCAGCCATTTGATCAACGTGATACATGTTGGTCGAAATTCCTTATAGTTATGACAGAAGATGGTAAGGGAGAGTTCTGTGAAGGAACGTTAGGGACATCACGATGATGCCACTAGTCTGATTTTACCTATGTCAGCCGTTGGTTGGAGCCATACATTGGAAAAACCAGGTCTAGCGTAAAAAAAAATTCTCTGAAGATTTTGGGGCCGAAAGAAAACACCTGCTGCATGCTCAAAGACACACAGACGTGTACTTATCCACACTCAGATATCATGCTTAAATAACTGTTATACCAAATGATCTCAAAATCTTGATGTCGGCCATCATTCAGGAAGAAACCAGCTGTAAATCTGGCCCTCACAGACAACTGTATTTTGGCTTGCTTGTAATGCGGACCTTCATGAAATCAAATGAGTAAACAATAAGCAACTAAGTGGTGAAAAATGAATTGATCTGTGTATTCTACCATTCATTGGCAATTCGACGGACGCAGATCGAGAGTTATTGATTAAATGGCCCTGGTGTGCTACCAACTAGATGATTTCCCGCAATTTTAGTTAAAATAAAGGGAGGAGGTTGATGCACGTTATGCACGTTGTTATTGTTGACTGTTGTGCTGCTAACAAAAATATGATGTTTGAAACAGTTTTGACACCCGCAGTTGATATATTCAGCAGCAGTGTGGATTCAACGCTGGGCGTCCTCATTATGTTTTGAATTTGTGAACATGCTGCCAAGCCTAGCTTCTTAGCTATTCAGTGGCGGTCATCGGGACTTAAAAGCCTATTTTTTTCACTTGACGCTTTTACTGATTTTATGGAAGAGCCCAGTCATAGTCAGCCTGTGGCGGCCCGCATTCATATCGCTTGACCGCACTAAAATACGTTACCTGAAGGAAAATGTTCTCATAAATGTTGTATTCGTTTAAAGGAGATGAATGATCAGAAATAATCACTAATTTCTTAAAAGTACACGAAACAGCTTCAAACAATACATTTATTACTTCAAGACCAAGAATTGTGTATTTAGATCAGCTGCCATCTTCGTATGGGAGAAATTTATGTCGAATTATATAGAATTACGGAACAAAGCGATCATTTTCTCCCTGCAGGCTGTAACTTGGGGCCCACAGAATACCACCTCAAAATCCTGGACATTAAATAAATATACCAACACAAAAAAGCGTTCCTTTGGAGGAAGTGAAAGTCAGCCACATAGCACAAATTTGTGATTTAAACAAAGGGTCATATAGATACTAATTTTTATCGGAACACAAGATCCAAGGTACAAACAAAACCGTACTTAAGCCAAGTTTTGAAATTTGGACACAAAAATACTGTGACAATGCTTTTAGTGAATAAACACAAAACATATAATGCCAATAGTTCAAGATAAAATGGTATACATGGAAAAAATACGCAGTACTCTGGATAACGTGAAAGTAAAAAGTTATTCTTTGGATGTTTGCAAACTGCGGTGTTGTCTTGCAGATTTCCTGTGAGACGGCCTTCTTCACGGTGCTCCAATGAGTTCCTTATTGGTAACAATCTCTTTGATTGCTTCCCGTAGAGCACCATATCGTTTCACAAAACTATCACTCTTGCTGGAACGATAAAGTACATCCAGTTCATTGATAGTCTGGACGATAAGTTGGATACGGGTCTCTAACCGGTCGTTGTTCTCACGAAGTCGTCGATTTTCTGGCCCAAGCTCTTCAACGGTGTAATCTGTAAATACAATAGCAAATAGTTTGTCATTCAGAATAATTTTCTTAAAATACCCAAGTACGAACTGCGACTGGCAGGTCAATCCAAATTAGAATGGGGCAGCAGTTTTCTCAATCTATCTTAACGTCTGTCATTCTAAGCACCGTAGCAGCAAGAAAGAACGTAAATACAAAGCTGCTTTCATTTAATCGGTTACGGCGTCGTTACGAAGTAAAAGTGTGCGTAAAAAGCAAATCTATTTCTGGCATGCAACAGGACAGAAATGTTTTGCTCTTCTTATGGAAACTCTCAAAATGCATTCAGTGTGGATTTAGTCTTTACGTGCAAGTATTATTCCGTTCACTTGCTTCCCATGCTTTAAGGCAAAAATCGTATTCGCTTGAAGTTAATAAATGAAGACATATTTCTCTACTGGAATTCGCTGTAGTCATCTGCATACAATCATGCTTTGGGTCTAAACGTTTGAGAGTTGTTCTGGTTTGGTGAATGTCCTTCTTCAAGCGTAATAAATGATAGAACGGTGGTTGGTAAAATTGAACCCATTTTTTTCATTTTTTCTGTTTGTTTTCTATAGCCTCAAAAGAATGTGAAGTTACCTTATGCAGATGGAGAATTCCACCGAACCTTAGTTGAAACGTTACCCTGTCCTATTGATTCGTTTTGACGTTTCTACAATACAGGGTTTGCACACGGCGCACTCTGTATTTTTCCTGTTTTGAGCCCTATTTTAACCGAGTACTAGAAGTAAGAAAAATATCAAGGGCTCAAATGGTATGCGCGTTTTAAGTAAACTCAAGATGCGCAAATTTTATTGAAGCGAAGCTAGTTTTCGTCCACAAAACAACACTTGATTACATCCGCTTTTGTAGAGAAGGTCATCCCTATTCTCACGAAATGACCTCTCCTTACTCTAAACTCTCAACTAAGGAGTGGCGGTGTTATCTGCTTTCTATCCCTAGTTGATATTACGAGCCACCTAATATTATAGACCAACAGAGTTTGGGCTCTCACATATGTGTGTTGAAACTAAATTTGCAGACAAATTTGCTTTAGCCCGTTCACAAGTACGAGAGGAGCTCTTCCTTCCGAAGTTGAGTACGAAAACTAAACAATCAGTTCAGCTTTTTACCAAGATACTGATGATGGCTGGTTGCTAGATACAATGGATCCCCTAATTTTTCCCGCGTATTTTATTATGCCGACACTAGATTGGTGCCAAATGCATGCACGTAGCACCCCTTTTAGCTAGACGCAGACCTCTAGTGTCTTCCCTGATATTCTCAGTTGTTCCGTGTACAAACTGATAACTGGCCCATACAAATCGGATGCCATTCCCTGATATATATATATATATATAAGTATACATATATATATATTATAAGGATAGAATGCCTCACATTTTTACTACTCATTCCTCGTGCGCTGGAGTTTGGTAATCGAGCAATATTTGTTTGCTAAATTACTGCTGGTTTGCTTTAATACAGCAAACAGCCGAAGAAAACGATTGGCTTCAAAAAACTTCGCGTCAGGAAGGTCAGGTATCTGAAAGTAATTTCTGAATGCCCGGAGCCCTCTACGACACTCACATCTTGCCAGAGTCGAAATATGGAAGCTATCAGTCATTCAGGCTAGAGAAACCAACCAGCTTCTATATTATATGGAGAGAATGCCTCACATTTTTACTACTCATTCCTCGTGCGCTGGAGTTTGGTAATCGAGCAATATTTGTTTGCTAAATTACTGCTGGTTTGCTTTAATACAGCAAACAGCCGAAGAAAACGATTGGCTTCAAAAAACTTCGCGTCAGGAAGGTCAGGTATCTGAAAGTAATTTCTGAATGCCCGGAGCCCTCTACGACACTCACATCTTGCCAGAGTCGAAATATGGAAGCTATCAGTCATTCAGGCTAGAGAAACCAACCAGCTTCTAGTCAAATATTCAAGCGGCTAGTCAATTTAGTAACGGCATGTCAGGCATGCCACAGAAGCCCGGCTGATGACAATGAGAGTTCGAGCATTTCAGAGGCACGGTCGATGGTGAATACTGTTCATCATATTCCAAAAAGACAGCCTGGATCACTTCCAAACGTACCTTTCAAATAGCACTAGGTCCCTTGAAACTTTTGTTTGAAAAAACGCTTTGTGTTCCTTTTTGGCGAGTCTTCTTCCTACACTAAGGCACTGGAGCGGAGACAGTAATTAGATGCAACACTTAGCTAAGATTCTTGCTTATATCAAACTGAAACCAGTCGCCTAGTTCAGTATTCATCGATGAAAGGTTGAGTAAAGTAACGTTGTTTGTCCTTCTTTGATCCTGTGGCTTACGGCCGTCTTGAAATAACGCCTTAATTATGGTCATGATTAATTGATTCGACCACTTTTGGACCACAATCTAAAACCGGATGTTCTTGGACTCAAAAGTTAGCATGATATAAATAAAGCTGGATGCTTGTTCGTTCATATTTCCCCTAACAGTTTTGTGAAAACAGTGCAAGCAGTCGTGCATCGTTTGAGAAAGTGACACCAACAACGGGTTACTGACGGCACAGCGCTTATGCACTTCGGCTACCGTTTCCATAACGACAGAAAACCAGCTGTCTTGTCAGTATCGAACAAATGCATCAGTAACCGTAGCGATCTGTTACCACTGATAAATGTCAGCATACTGTCATATGCTTTGATCAAGCCTTGTTATCTGCTGAGAGCTCTCGAATGAAAAGTAGGGTATATTGTCAGAAGTCTAGGTTTGCTTCAGAAGGAAAGGTCTTGCATCCTGAAATGTGTGATTGACTCCGGACTAACTTCTATTTACATCATATAGTTGGCAGCGTCCATCAGAATAATTTAAGGTGCGTGACCCGCCTATTAATCAGGTTATAGTGTCATTCATTTTGTAGTGTACTGCTATAACACCACTGTGGTGCAGTATTTCTTTTATACATTAAAAGCTAGCTACTAGTGAGGCTTTTATTATTATGAACGCACACTTTACGACTGCTTAACACATTTTGTCTTTACAATCTAGAATGTCTAGGCATCTGTAGATAAAATAAACGAAAACACGCGTTCATTGAGAGTTGTTATGCACGCAAGTATTGAAAACCGCCTGCTAATTCGTCTTTGTTAATCACTGAAATACAGCGTTTTGTTAAACCAATTCATCTAAACATCAAGGAATGAGCTTCAGTAGATGAGTTAGTTAATTACACAGACAAGCTTGTTTACAATTCCGGTACAGAACAAACCAGAACCCTATACGAAACATTGGAGTTTAGACATGAAAACTAACGCTATGCTGATGTGACGTCATTCACCAGTTGAAATACTAGATGTTGCGATACACTCATCCCATAGCAAGTAGTTGGCTACGAACCAGCAGGAGACCTCCGAGCAGTTTACCGTGAACACGATAGCCAAAGAAGCTTAGAACACTGGGACGTTTGAATTTATCTATATCAAATATATTTCCAAGATTCCATCTGCAATTCCTTAGGAATTTCTTGTTCTGATGACAGACGTTCGTGCGCGTGCGCTCAACCGCTTAGCTTTGGCAATATTTTGTTTTAACCGCATGATACTACGACCAACGACAGTTAAGCCTAATCAAAGCTTTTGCTGACACTAAAACTGGAGACCCATGTCCAACTCATACTTCAAAGCCCGAGGTTTTACAAGTTTTTCGGGTTTGCGGGGAGCATTTTTGATGCCAAGATGCTATCCTTACAAAGCCTATTTTCCGGGTCATGATGCCACTACCATGGCCGGACTAGTCTTTGAAACTGGATAGAAATAACGCAGGAGGCTGTGAGTGAAGTATCTGTCGTCGAACAAATGCCAGATATTATGTTGTTTGGCAGATACGTCCTGAGAGAAAAGTCTAAGCCAAACATACATCCAAAATCAAAATAACTGCAGGATTTCGCCATACTGTACTGATGACAGTGAAACCGCTGACGTCCGAGTGGAAATTCTGTCCTTGAGTTTGATTCACGAAATGTTTCTAATAGTCTGAACGAAGAAAAGAACCACACAGTTAACACAATCATCCTACCCGTAAGACTTTTTGTTCAGAAGGACGCTGGTAGTTTGCAACGCGGGTTAGAATTTCGCCCCCTTTTCCGCCAAATGCATCCAAAACTGTTTGAGCAGCCTGACAGGCGGTTTCACTGAGCTCAGAAATATAAATTAATATTCCAGCGAAAGAATACCAACCGCATTTGAGTTCGCATCATACAGTACGTCTAATACCTACAGCCCTAGAGAGAAAGCACTCCTTTTTTGACTTCTGTCATAATCAGCGTTCTAAATGCAAATAAGAAACACACTGTCTTGCAAAAACCAGAGACCGGCCTAACGTTTTGAACTGTTATGCTCACGTCCCTGTATGCTAAGTAGGCTCGTAGAGCATCCGTTTACAGGTAAAGACTTTTGACGGCTGTAAATCAGGTGCCCATTGAAGCATGAGGATTCTGTAGGGTAACTTCCCTTTAAAAAACTTGGAGGCTAATTTAATGGTAGTTTCATTGTTAATAAGCACCTTCAACGCCCTTTTAGACCAGTTTAGTATCGGTTCTTCATTCAGAATATGACTTCACCGTTTAGTCTCGTGGTTCAGCGAAAGGGCCTAGGACCACTGTTTTGATGAACCAACACCATTTTACTAGCCGTTAGGGAACCAGCTGATTTTTTCTTCATTACTAATATTTGCATAACATTTTTGTTTTCAAAGATGTGTGTTTAACTTTGCTCATATACGAGGAAAGAGAGAAAGCTAAATCTACTGTAAGCCTGCAGTATCGAGTGGATTCAATAAAGCAGCTCTAAAGCGTTGTTGCTTTTAAAACGTGAACACTCTATGATTAAATCCCATGTGGTATTAGTGATATTACTCAGCATTCTCCCAAGCTGAAATAGTATATCTTATAAGCTTCACCTTCAGGATAAAAAGGACTCTCAAGATTGAGTCACATATAGCGTAACATAAGTGAATTCGACCACGTG